GAGGGTGAATTCAGGCACCAAGATTTGTTGTGGAAGAGCCAAACTAACTTGTTAAGGTATACAATTCGTCGTCGTTATATGCAGCTAAACTTGGGATTGACTTACAGTGTACTGAGCGAGTCAGGTCTGTTGAACTTTATTACCTGGCTTGGTCAATGTATGATCAATGTAAACGGGAGAAGGCAAAGAAGTGGTGTTGTATCGAGTTGAGGTGTCTCATGATAGACACTTCCTTCCACAACTACCTAGATAGTGAACAGCTCTAACACACATTAACAACTCCTTCGAGGATGCCATGCCAAGATACACGTACTGCGATACGGCAGTAGTGGGTAACTTTCGTTTCTCTGACACGAGTGATTCCGACGGCTACCTAGGTACTCTCTCCTGTAAAAAAAGCTTAAGAGTGTGGATGTTCAAAACAAAAGGAATGAAGACATGCGGTGACTTCTGGGCGCAAAAATGTGTGAACTAACCGTTGTCGATAGTATGAAGCACGTGCATAGTATAGCATGTCGATTATGAGGACGGGTGATGATAGACTAGCTGTTTAAGAGACTTGCCCCCGTTGTGCGACATCTGAATGATACGATACTGAAGCTATCCGCAGCGATATCTCACTAGATCTAAACAATGCGTTATAGTCGAAGGTTTGTCACTGAGTAACCCAACGCATTCTTTACTATCGCACAGAGAATGATAGTAAGCGAGCTGTAGACGTCTGTTCCTTTGAGATGCCCTGATCGCTACGGCAGACATGCCTCAATCGCGGTCCAAGTCGTCGCTAGTATGGCCAAAATGACATGAGAAAGGTGAGAGTTCTTACTTGACACTGTGCCAAACTTTTCGCTACGCATACATGATCCGATATTGAGAACCTCAAGATGCAGTTCAATCGAGCGGAGTTGGACTCTTCAATTTTTGGTGTCGTTCTGGATAGACATAACGGTGAAGGTAATAGACAAAGCAACAAGCTAGGTAGGTTACTGGATGTGTATTGGACCATACGAGAGTTGTTTCGAGCAAGAATATTACTGCACATGACACTGATATCTGATCATGTGTTGTCGCATGGTGCGCATGTGCACTTGTCATTAAGTCATTCACCTGCGTGTATAAAGAGCCGTCTCATTCTCCTCTAGAAGTTGCGCTCGGTCACCCACCGCAATTTCCGACTCTGTACTTGGGCACCTTCCCATGGTAGCGCAGTGTCGCAGTCCGGCCAATCAAACGACCAGCATTCCCAATTTCACCATGTTCTATTCACGTGCTCCAACCATGCTGCGGCGACCACTGAGCACGTCCTGCAAACGGACGAAGACGCATTCACGTCATCGTTTGTGTCGCACCTTCACCGTGGGCGCCTTCCTATCTATATAGCAAACACTCTTATCAGCCCTATCAGGGCTGCTCGACCCCAATCTCGCGTCACCTTCGACTTGGACCGCAACAATCTCGAGACCGGTCGTAACAAAATCCTCCACGCACCTGTATACGACCACTTACACCTACAACAACAACCCAAACAACGCATTCGCGCATCGCGACCATGGCCGAACTCAAGGACAACCTTGGTCCCTACGTCCTCGAGACAACGCTCGCGGCTGACCGCGCTGACGACTCCTGCTACGTACTCAATGTCGGTCGCGACGAGAATGGCGACGTTACTTCTTCCCTCAAGCACGTGAATGAGCAGGTAGACGACTATCTCATCAACGTCTATGATCGTGTTACCCCAGTCACAAAGCTCTACGTCGTCGGCGAGTGGAAGTCGGCTCTGGCAAAGAAGGACACCGATCGAACCAGTATACTGGAGGAGCAATCGCATTGCACAATTGAGGTAAGCGCAAGGCTCTGTGATAATAAGGACGATAAAGCTAACGCAATGACAGCCGCAGTGGCTCACCAAGCGTGAGCAGGAGTGGCGCGACGCAGGCGAGCATATAGCGAAGCTGGTAGAACAGATGCCTGCGCTTAAAGAGTTGACGTATGTATATCTCTTACTACAACGTGCCTATTGGCTAATGAGACCTAGATGGATCTCCGCTCTACCCTTCATGGCTGTCACCTGGACAAAGTTGTCCACCTCGCTTACAAAGCTTGTCCTCGACCTTGGTCAACCTGTCCGCCTTCAGCAAGACGGCGAGAACGAGTACAAGTCATACATCAGCCCGGCGGAGATGAAGCCGCTTGTCCAGCAGACTGAGCTCGAGGAGCTGCGACTCTTTCATATGCATGACTCACTTCAGTCCATCTACTGGGAGGCTGTATTCCGCAATACGTCCAAGACTGGCATGCGCGTCCTAGATCTCGACATGGCTGCGCCTCCGATCGTGCGAAAAGAGCATTGGCACAAGGCTGAGGAAGTCCGTGGCTTGACCGTTCCGAAGATAGACTCAAAAGAAAAAGAGTACAAGTGAGTCCCCATGCACAGGAGCGCATCCGGAGTTCCATAAAGTACTGTCGCTAACACACTGCAGGGGCATAGACGGAAAGGGAGTATTACACTACTCTTTCGGCACCGGCGAGTATCTCGATGACTTCAGCATGCGCAAGGGACGTATTGCGGCTGGATTGGAAGAGGCCAAACCGTTCCCGTTATGGTAAGTGGAATGATCTCGAGAATCCTGGTGGTCATGAGCCAAACGAAGCCCCAAATACCGAGATACATCCCAGATGTATACGTGGCGCAACTCAGCAACCAGTGGTATGAGACTGACTTGTTTATTAGGTGCCTCAAACTCAACGGCTTCGTCGTCGACTACCTTCCGTTCGAACAAGAGCTCTCTCGTATCGCGTTGTTGACCTGCGGTAAAGATTGCGTGGATAGTGGCCTACGAGCCCCAAATACTTCCCGCAATCCATACAACAGAGAGGGCAAGGCCGTCAACAACCGTTGCCTGATCCAATGGCCTAACTGGACTGGAGTGTTTGATGATCGTGGTGACCCGATACCGCTGACAAAGGAGTCTCTCCAGATGAAGGACCTAGGCGAGGCCTTGGATGGCGCAGCCAAAGAAGACGGCTACTTCTCAGCGCAGTCACCATGGTCACCAGGCAGTGCTGTCACCTCCCATTTGCAACCGCAAGAGACCGTGTCTTCGGCAAGTCTCCCTCATGTCCCAGTGACTGATAGCGAGACACCTGTCACTCTTGCGACGACCGGAAGCCCTGCCGCAGACGGAAACACGTTTTCTGGCGAAACCTCTCCGACAGGCGCGAGTCTGGTACTTGTCGACAGCGCGACCTCCGAAGACTCTATCGTTTCCAATGATAGCAGCTTCGACCAAATCCTGCCCGCAGACATCGACGAATCCTCGGTAAAAGCTGCGACAGCCGTCAAGAACGGTAGCTTCAAGCACAAGGTAAGAAGATCTTGGGATTGGTTGTCTGGTTCTGGTTCTGGCGCTGCTTCATGAATTTGGTCCGGTTTTGCTCAGCGTCCTGCTTGCTTTTGGTGTTTCGACATTATCTTTATCATGCAGCTGACCAAAGGGAGTGAGGAGACATGGATGGCACTTGCTGGCAGCAGCGAATGTGTCCTACCCAAAGACCCTTGCTTAACTTTCATAGGAACCGACAGATGAATGGCGGACGGGTGACGGCGGATGACGAACGACAAACGATTGACAATTCGGACTTGGGCAATGACGGAGCGGAGGATGAACTACGATACCACGACGCGCCTGCGGAGCTTTTGGCGCTTGGAAGCCTTGGGAAAGGGTATTTGGGAATAACCTTGTAGCTAGGTCTCACTCCAGAGTCTCGCCCTTTCCTAGGATCTACACGAATAAACACATCCCACAACCTGGCTGTGTCGATGCTTCTCCGTCGTTGCTGACATCTCGGCGTCTTTGCAAGTGCTACAGCTCTCCGATTGCTGCCTCGGTCCGATGTGCTTGCGATTCAGGTTGTGAGGCGGTGTGCGCAAAGTGTGCCGTCCTCTTTTCATCGCAAATGGGACGGGCGACGTCTGACGATGACAGCTGTTCTGTGGGTCTAGTGAACGTTGCGTCTGCAGTATGTTTCCTTGTTCTTCCGTTGCTGCAGGATCATGGGTCTAACGCATAGGCGAGGCTGGGAGTTGCATGTCGTGTATGCGGGTTCCAGGGGTGGACATAATGGAATGTTTGTTGGCTGTACAAGACACCGAACGACTTCATCATCAGCTGGTCGTTACGATGCGGGCCTTTGGCAAAGGCGGCTTGTTGTTAGGTTGAAGAGGCACGACGCTCGTGGCCAGATGCTGTAACGATTTGACCCGCTGGAGACGGGCCGCTCCTTCCTCACAACTCGGCTGATTGGCAGGCGCATGCGGGTGGGCAGGTGCGATGAGGTAACCGCGACCACGAGCATGAGAGAGGCCGTGAGCCAAATAAATCTCTAGCTATCAACTACATGACTTCTTTGTAATCTTGGACTGCTGGCTTCTAATGCCTTGCTTCGTTCGGCCGGTCATGACGGCGATGGGCTTTCCGCTTTCCGGCTCGCGCTGTACCTTGGCCCCATGCCAGGTTTAGCAGAACAAGCACGATGAGCTGGCACGCTGGCAATCGATCGTAGCCGTCACCAACTCGACGTCCGCTATCCTCGTCCCAGTCCAGTCGCTTGCATGCATCTCGCTGCACGTCGGTCAGTGCGACTCCACATCAGCAAATATCAGCGTTTGGCGTATTTGCTTCCCGGGTGAAGCTCCGCTCGCGCTCAAAGCGCTACCACACGTCCGCGATTGCTCAGCCGCGCGACTTCAATGCATATCCAAACGAGACCTTCTGTCTCTTCCGTCACTCTTTTCTACCCACCCGCGCGTTGCAGCAGGCGCCGCGCTTCCGAGCGCTGGGGCTGAGGGCCAGCTTTTCGTCCGGTGACGTCTGTTTCGGCACTGCCAGCAGAACTCGAGGCATTGGACAACCACCAGCACCACGACGACGACAGCACAGCGCAGCGCAGCGCATACATAGTCACCAATCGCGCATCCAGACACGTACATTGGCTGTTTCATGGACTGTCGGTGAGAGCTGTAAGTTGATTTCACGAAGCGTCCCAGCCACCTCCCAGCCCTTCACCTCCTCCCAACCACCCTACCTCGCGCGCGGAATTGCTAGGGCGCACCGCAGCAATGGCTCCTCTGCTAGCCCTCCCGCAGTCTCTGTCTCTAACATTACCCTCTCCAGCCAGCTTTCGTGCCTCTCGATATAAGCAAGCCATCGCGCGTTGCTTACCCAATCCCAAGAGAACCAGCCGCTGGGTATCTTCTCCAACCCGGCGGGTGCCCCTCGACGGCGCAAGGGCAATTGGGCCTGAGTGAGAGTCCCTGACTTCGCGGTGACGTCCAGCGACCCATCTGAGCTCGCCAACATATTACCCTCCCAACAACCATCTTCACGAGACCACGACCGCCACGGCCCAGCGCCACTGTTCGAATACCGAACCTCCCTCCAGCTACGCCAGGAGCAAGCCGAAGCCTTCTATCGCACGCAGCACAATCGCTCGAGAGCATCGAGCTCGACCGGCAGCGTCGCAAACAGTCTTCGCCGCACGCCCAACTTCGAGCGCGCGAGATCTGTCGATCCGAGCCAACAGCAGCAGCGCGTTCGCTTCGAGACACCTCGCCCTCGCTCGACCTCCTACGCCGAGCCTCACCCCGCCCTTCGCGTCAGTCAACGTACTGCCTCGGCAATACGTTTTGTGCTCGAAGAGGGACTCCGACTTCCACATCCCTTCACCCCGGATCTGGTCGAAGAGAACGCCCTCATGTCCGATCTAACAAGTGGCCGCGCTGCCAATGGCGGCGCGCGCACAACAGGCGGTCCTGTGCCCGTTGACAGGTCCAACATACGCACGCCAACGCAGATCATGAACGCCAGACGGCAACGGGCTGAAGTGGAGGAACAAAGGAAGGCCGCTGAAGAGGAGCGCAGGAGAGCTAGCGCAGAAAGAAGAGCTCAAGCTGTTTCTGGTGTAGCTGGAGCACCAACAACGGAGCCCGGGACCCAAAGGCAGCCCCAATCGACAGCTCTGAGATCTGGCGACCAGTATGTACAATACCCGACATCATCGGGTGGAGTGCCTCGTCAGCCAGAGAGGCCGATCCCATCACAAAACACCATGAGCGAAGCGCAGGAGACCACTACCGGCGCATCGCAATCCAGACCCCGGGCAGCTTCGCAAGCACAGCAGCAGCAGTCTCGACCCGCTCAGGCAAATCTAGGCCTACCAACGACGGCGGAACAAGGCAGACGGCCAGCTGGCTCAGGGCATGCGAGGCGACCGTCTGGTGCCACGGCCGCTTCATCGCAAGCAGGCCCTTCCACCGCTGCAGCACGCCCACCACCTCCGCCAGGCTCGTCCTCCGGACAGGTTCGCGAGTCCACCACTTCAAACTTTCCACATGCGTTTGAGCGCTGGGAAACACTATCCTCGCATTGGGAAGGTCTTACCTCTTACTGGATACGGCGGCTTGAGCAGAATACCGATGAAGTTCGCAGGGAGCCGCTGGCTCAGCAAATGTCGCGCCAGATCACCGACCTGTCTGCAGCTGGTGCCAACCTTTTCCATGCTGTTGTTGAGCTGCAGCGCCTACGCGCATCTTCCGAGCGCAAGTTCCAGAGATGGTTCTACGAGCATCGCCAGGATCAGGAACGAGCTCAAGAGCGTGAGGCTCAACTGACGGAACAAATCAACACGGAGCAGGAGGCTCGACTTGAGGCTGAGGCAAACATGGAACGCATGGCCACCGAGAAGAAGAACGCCGAACGAGCGGTGTCGGAGATGAAGCGTGAGCTTCAAATCTCGAAAGAGGAAGCACGCCGAGCATGGGAGGAGCTTGGAAGACGGGAGCAAGAGGAACGTGATCGCACGTTCTCACTCAGAGAAGGGCAGCCTACGTTGGTCGGCGGAGTGCAGGTGGTACCAATGGCGCAGAACATGGGGCGTCAAGGGAGGGGACATGGGGACGACACATACGCCGGTGCTCAGAGCAGTGGCTCGGGTATAGAACAGCACTACTCGTATGAGGAAGGTCAGTCTCCAACTGACACCGATCCCTTCACGGAAGGCGCTCGCCATGCGCACCGCGAGCCCGAACCCCCCGCACACGTGGCTCAAGGAACCTACGTCCCATCAGGTGCAGCATCCGCCGCCTCCTCTCGACCTGGTGGCTCTTCAGTCGCGGACGAGTCACTAGCCCCTGCTCCATTACAGTATCCATATTACACGTCTCAGGCACAGCAAGCCCCTGCACAACCGGCCATGTCTCAGCCTGAGGCGTTCTACCAGCAGCCAGGTTCATATCTACATCAAGAGTCTGAGTCTGGTCTACCCGAGGACGAACAGTCATACGTCACGTCTCAGGCGGAGGAGTCTGAAGGCGACATCGAGTACGCCCTGGACGAGAGAGGCAACTTCATCCGCGATGATTCAGGTCGCCGCATCCCGTTTCGATCGCTTCAGTCTCCAGTATCGGATGAGTATGATGTAGAAGATGCACGTCGACGCGAGCTTGAGCATCTGCAACACTACGGCACGACTGCCACGTCTTCAGGTGCCTACGCCACGAGTTCGAGCGCGGGATCGTCACGCCAGGGTCACCCTACCGCTGGCGGTGCACCCGACTACAGTGGTGATGGCTACGGTGACGAGTGGGTAGGCATGAGACATCACCATCCTACGAGACTGAGTGACGTTCCCGAGGAAGATGAGAGGAGCCGGACGTCGCCCAGCAGAGCAAGCCAGGCCAGCCGAGGACGCCTCTATTAGAAGGATAGTTACCACACGCCCTCTAACCTCGTCTTCAGAAATATCCTAAAGGCGCTTGAGCTTTGCAACCATACTGTTTTCGAACCGCGGTGTTGCAGACCATTTTCACACCACATCGAATTCCGCACACGCATATATTGTTTCGGCATACATGTTACAGCGAGCATTACACACCAGGTCCCCTGCGTTTATACCCTTCTACAAGATCTCAATCGAGCGTCCCCGGCCCTCTATGGCTGATTCTTGCATCTACGACCGCTCCCTGTACTAGTAGAACTGTCTTTTTTTGTTTTGCGATTTAATCTCTTTCCAGCAAGCATGGTGTTTATCGGGCATTCGCATAGGGCTGGATTGAAGGATGATGGAAGGAGGACTTGGTGGTAGGGTGGGCAGTCTCCGTACGTCATGATGGAGTAATATCGGGGTTGAGTGTCTAATGGATTGAATGAACTGGAGAGATGGGTGAGCTAATGCATAAACCTCAAGTTTTCTGTTTCTGAGATTCTCGTCTTTTCGTCTTTCGTCACGTCTCTTGTCTTGGTCCGTTTCCTTCTCAGGATGTAGTGACCATTTTCTTGTCAAAGTTCTCCCTAATGTAATTTCATTCGCATGTGTCTTCGGCGGACAATCTTCTCAAATGTGCCGTCATTCTTTCTGGTTATGGAGAGCTTGGTGAGTACACCATTGGGCGGACATCTGCACACCTCAGTACTGGTGTACTCGCGATGGGTCGAACAAGTCACGTGCACATTGGCACATATTCGTGGATCCAAGGCGAGTGCCCATGAAGCAGGCATGTCTCCAAGGACTAGAGATGACGAATGGCTTTGCTCTTTGGAAGACGCCACGTAGCTTCTTTTAGCTTGCGCGACCCCGTTGGTCCGCATTCGACGCGTTTCTTGCGCGCTCTATTGCGCGCCAAGCATTGCTCCTTCCCTTTCTGTCACTACGTTGAGCCTCACCTTTTCGCGTCCAATGTCTGACTCATCCGTCCCCTCACCTCTTACAGCACTTTCTTTAGGTGCTCTCGTCATCTAGCTATACGCCGGAGTGAGCGTGCTTGCCTCTCTTTTTCGTTCCTTGCGACACTGGTCACGCGGCCAGGAGTGAGAGTACGCGATGCCAGGGCTTACCACAGCCACCGCCGACGGCGGTGCTGTATCTCAATCACTTACTACATCTGGAGCTGTCACGGCGAGTACAGAGGGCAACAGCGGCGGACGATGGATCAATGTTAGCCGAGGTAAGATGACATCTGCTTCTTCCTGACATTACTGACATATCGAAGATGGCAAGCTTGTCTTCAAGCAGTCCGCGTTTCCTTACTCCCGACTCTCATTGACCGAACAGCCACCTCGACCGATTCGACCAACGTTCCAGAAAGTACCTAATGCAAGTCTGCACCAAGAGAACAAGCGATGCCATGACTTCATAGAGTGGCTAGAAAAGAAGGTGGAAGATCAAGAAAAGAGGATGGTTCATGCCGAGATAGGACGAGCTGAGGATAGAAAAAGAGCCGCCGATGACTTGGTCGAACTGAAACAACACAACAGAAGGGCGGTGACCGACTTTGGTTGCGCCACGGCAGAGAAGAAAGAATACGAGAAGAGGATGATGGTGGCTGAAGACAAGCTGGCTTCGCTTGAACAGCGTGAGGAAGCTTTGAAGATTGCAAAGTTAAAGCTTAAGCACCTTCAAGCAAAGTCCAAGACATTCCAAGATCTCTCTGATGCGGTCGTGGCTATGGGCACCAAAGTCGAGAAGGCAAGTCGCGATATGAAGAACTCAGCAGCACGCAAGAGCACTCCGCAATCGGCCTTCGAGAAGTGGGAAAGACAGTATTGTGAGCCAAGCATCCGGCTCGTTCAGCTCAACGAGCAGCTCAAACAAGAGCGAGACAAGAACCGAGAAGAGCATGCTGAGCTGAATAAGACTTTACAAGAGCAAGAGATTTCACACAGTCAGACAAGAGACCAAAATGAGGAAGAGGGAGCGAGGTTAGCAATCGAGCGACAAGCGTTTCTCGCAGAGAAACAAGCGTGGCATCTGCAGAGAGGCCAGACACTCAGCGACACGGAGTTCAAGCTCACTTTGAATGTTTGTGTGGAAAAGCAACTGGAAAAGATTACGCCTCTCATTGTGGAAGAAGCCCGAAGGTACATCTGGACATTGCAAGAGGCGGAGTGGGGTGAACACGAGTCCGAGAGCATCGCAAACGCCAAAGAGCAAGGCTACGAGGACGGTTACACCGAAGGTCTTGCAGAAGGCAGACGCATTGCTTCAGCTGATATGAGCGAGATTGAGTGCGAAGCCTATGACAATGGCTATTCCGTTGGTTATGAAACAGGCAAAATTTTCGGGATGGACTGGGTTGAGGTGGAGCACGAGATGAAGCTTCCAAGGATCCAAGAAGATGCAGGTTACGCTCGCGAGACGATTCTTTTGTCTACTATCCGAAAGATCGACTATGTGACCGATGGAACAGTTCGAAGGGTCTTTGCTTGTTGTTCAGACATGACTTGCTCTAGGCACAAAAGGGAAACTGTCGTTGAACATCAATTCAAATATGGCAAGACCTATCCACGACTTCATAGCCAGGACCATGAGGGCAACGATACGGACTGTGTGAAAGAGTATACTCGGGGACAAGCAGATGGTGAAGCCCAGGGATATGAGAAAGGTCGGAACGCCGGACAGTCTCAGGGTCACCAGAAAGGTTACAGCAAAGGGTACGCTCAAGGGGTCACTGCAGGACGATCGCAAGGGAAAGCTGGTGTCCGGAAGAATGGATATAACGAAGGCTACGCCGATGCAAATGCCGGATTCGACGGACGACTGGATGCAGCGCACAAGAACGGAGTTGATGCGGTTGAGGAAACTTTCAAGCCGAGACTCGACAGCGAACGTCAGGCTGGTAAAACTCTGGGCTATAACAGCGGATGGATTGATGGCTACGAGGCTCACAAGTCCATGCGCAGTCGTCAAGAGGCTGAAGAGGCTGAACAGGCCGAAGAAGCATTGGCTAGTTCGTGGGATGTGAGCGGCGGTGGTGAGCCCAGGGATGATGGCTGGGGACAGGCTGATGATTCGGTATGGTGGGGACAGGCTGATGCATCGGTAGGACCGGGACAGCGTGATGAATGGTGAAGCCACGCAGAGTACTAAAGAACTGAACATGTACAGTCATGTCAAGAACTAGATAAATCGACCCTAGTGTCACAGTTTCGAAGCCCTAAGCTTCGTACTATCAACCCTCCTTCCCTCATCATCCTGCTCCTTGACTCTCAAATCCGGAAACACCGCAGGCATAATCCTCCTCGGCCTACTCCCCTCCACCAAATTATACTTCTCAAAATCACTAACCCCCTTCATCCGCAAGAAATCCTCATCAAGCAATAACTCTCCATTAATCTCTTCCACAGGCGCCTTGATCATCTGCAACACCGCATCGGAGAAGACATTCGCAGTCCTAAGATCCTTGGCATCTTCCTGGGCCATATTCTGCGTCGCAGCACTCTGCACCGCCGTCGCAGGCCAAATGCTTGTAACCGCCATCTCACTCTTTCCTTCACGCTGGAAATCCATGGCTAGCCCCTTTGTCAGAACGGACATACCCACCTTGCCCATCGCATACGCCGTCTTCCCACGGAAGAAGCGCGAGTAGATCGGCGGACTGACAATAATGATCCTGCCCCTCCACGCCCCATCGCGCTGTTCAAAGTGCGGAAGACAGGCTTGTACGACGCCATATAGTCCCTCGACGTTCACGCGCTGCATGAGCTGGAACCGCTTCATCGGGGTCTTGGCTACGCTTGCCCACCATATCGCGCCGCTATTATACACAAGTACATCCAGACGACCGTACTTGGCTATTGTCTCGGCGACCATGCGCTCTATACTGATATAGTCTCGTGTATCGACGCTTATGGCCGTGGCTTCGCCGCCTGACTCGTGGATCTCGCGGGTCACGGTGGAGATGGTGGACGCCGGCGAGTTTGGGTCGGGTGGAAAAGGAGAGCTTTTGGAGGCGTCGGAGGTGGATTTGGCGGCTACGACGACTGCGTTGCTGTTAGTGCTTTGGCTCTTGGACGGAGGAGGTGGTTGCTATGTCCACCTGCGTAGCCGTCTTTTGCTAGGTCGATGGCGATTTGTCGACCGATGCCTCGTGAAGCGCCGACGACGAGTGCGACTTGTTTGTTGGACGTTGGCATGGTGGAGAGAGCGTATTGCGTAGGGTTGAAGGTTACGTCGCGCAGGGAGAGTTGTTGCTTGCTGCTATGAGCAAAAGGCGCCTACGAAACGCATGCAGACATGACATTGCAATGAGCATTCATTCTATAACCTCGGTCGATGCGTATGGCACTGCATCTGCGGTACGCATAAGCTGCGCGGCGAGAATCCGGGGTATCCGCATCATTCGCGGTCTGAAAGGCGGAGGTGTGGCTGCGATTAGTGATAAAGTCCGGCCATGCTAGACCTCGGCAGCCAAGACACCTGGGCAGTGCGCCGATCCAACGACGACGCGCATAAGACAAGGCCAGCATCTTTACAAGTACGGTCTTGATTTCTCATCTCGTACATTTGGACGTATTGCGAATATGGCAGGCAAAATTACGTGCTATCTAGATTGCGGTGCGTACTTACTGTCCTCTTGATCGACATCACATGCTAATTATGGACTAGTATCTCCATACTCATACTACGCTTTACTGCACCTGGAGAGGAACAAGCAGACTCTCGAAGCGCACAATATAGAGATCGAGTTAGTACCCGTTGTTTCATTACCTAAAGCTCGAAACGAACTCCCTTCTCTGAAACCCTACCAACAAGACTGCGCTCTCGCCAAGAGCAAGTATGATCACTGACTTCATACAGTGTAGTGCCCGTCTTTCTAGGGGGTATCAATGTCGGCAGCGGTAACACTCCCTCATCCCCTCCCATGTGGAGTGCCTGGAAATTCGGTACTCGCTATGCCAAATCAGTCCTGACACTGTAGCGCA